GCTACAAAATGATCAGGCTTCTGATTCTCTATGGAGCAGATCTAACCATAAAGAACGGCGTAAGTAATAGCAAAACTCACAGTAATTCAAAATGCTTTAGAATAAGTTTGCCTTCAGAGCAGTTTCATAGATTTCAAGGCTGAGAGAGACTGAATTAGATCACTTCAGAGTTAATTAATGCAAAGCTGACACAGGGAAAGTATAACTTGGAGGAGGTCAGGGAGAAGAGGAAAAACTAGTACGTCTTCTAAAACCAGAACCTGTCAGCTGCGGCTTAAAACATCACATCTTTCTGTGAGTTAGTTACACATATCATATACGGAAAAGACCTAAACATACAGACACTTGCTCTCTGGACAGCTCCCGGGCTTCAACCACCGCTGAGACAATAAAGATCTTATCTTGTCAGAGAAACTTCCTTTCTGTGAAGCCCGCACGCAGCCAGTGGTGAGCCCGAGTCCTGCATCTGGATGACTGGCAGTTAACGGTTGGGCAACAAATTCCCATGGCTCAGCAGAGCTTCAATTTAAGAAGCCTCACACCTGACTTTTTGCTCACCGCCACTGCGGCAGCACACGTGTTGCTGGAGCTCTGCAACCACTCGTTAAAATGCAGCACATCACAACTCCCTTTCCCCCAAACCCAAACGATGCAGCAGAGGCACGGACAGGGAGTTTTACTAATGCCAGTCAATGTTTTTGATTGGCAATTGATCAAAAACTAAGGGGACAAGGAAGAAACCAGTCACTGCAGCACTTTGCACTCCCTGTCCACACTCACCGAAGCAGGGCCACTCCCAGTGTTATCCCTTATCAGGGTACGGAAATGATGAAAGATACAGCCCCAAAGGCCAGAGACCTGCTCTCTCAGGCTTTGTCTGCACACAAAAGTTGCTCCTGTTTAATTTAGATGTGGTTCATAACCTCATTAAACCAGTACAAACTCTTTTCTGAATTCTCAATTAAATACAGGAGTGGCTTATTGAGGTTTCATCTAAATGTATTTCTAATCAGTTTAAACTAGATCAAAAGCAACACCTGCATGCTCTGCTAGTCATGGTATTTGCTAATACGGTTTAGACCCACTAAAAGCCAGGGAGATTTCCTCATGAGTCTGACCAGGACTGGGGCTAGATCTGTAGAGCAAAAGGACTCTGATCTCAGGGAGGCGAGCGTAAGTCTGACCCTGTGCGTGCAGGAGAGTCTCACATCAGACAGGTGCACTGAACAAATATTTAGGGAAGAATGAAGTACTTGGTATTCCTCAGCTGAAAATAAATCTTGCTTCCTCTGCTTTTTTAACCAGCAAGGGAAAACTCCTATGGACCTTGTTCTTCAGTGGCAGAACGGCACCAAAGAGATATTCAACAGCCTGAAAGATAATTCCTATAAGAGTGTCCATGCAGGCAAGTTCTGAGGAGAGAAACCAGACTGCTCTCTTTTTGCTGCTTTTAAATGCTTCGTACGAACCCAGAGGAAAAGAGCACTGAACATACTACTATTTTTATTGAAAATATTTATGATACTGGATCATTTGAAGTATCTTCACGGAAAACTGAAAAAAAAACCACAACCAACCAATCATGCAGATAAATTATTTTTAAAGGCAGGTTGAGTGTTATAATTCCACTGGTTTTAAAATGGGTTTATTTATTACTATTTATTAATTATTTATTTAAAAGGTCATTTTAAATGATTTTCAATATCATTGTAGCTTTTTCTTAATAGAGCTTTACATCCTAATGCAATCTTTGCCAGCAATATAATTCCTTTTGTCTTAGACAGCAGTATTTCCAACTGCATTAGCATCTGCCCTCAAGCCTTCCAATAGCTCTAAATAGCGAATACTTGCAAACGTTTTCTTGTCTCTGCCAAATTCTCGCTATTAAAATAATATGTTAAATGAGTGGTGATACATGGAAGAGCAATGGAAGAAGGTGTACTGAGGTGCCAAGTGAATTTAAAGAAGCAGTTGAGTAATGGGGTTTACATAGGGTTTGGCAATTGTGGTTGATAAAGAGCTCGAGGACAGAGCTCCAATCATCACATAACCGTTTGGACTGTGGGATTCAGATGCAATGTTACGAAGGTGAGAGGAGACAGCATCAGGAATGTGAATTTTTTTTTAAGATAGACTACTGTGAAGTCTGATGATCGAAGAATGCAAAACCAGATTATGTATATTTGTAAATTTGTACTGCTTTTTCTGTACATTTTGTACTGATCTATTTCAAATTAAATAAACAGTGGTTCTTTTTATTTGCTGGAGTGGATTATTAAGTGGTAGGCATGTGCAGGGTAATTCTGTTTTCTCCTTAAAGAAAGTTCCCATCTTGGTCTCTGTAAAATTCTTAAAAACTCAAAAAAAAAGTCTCAGTTGCCCAGAGCAGCCAGCCCCTGAGCTACCTCCTCCCTGCCACTGTTAGGTAAGTGCCATCTCTAACTTACTTTGTTAAATGGAAACACGCATACAAAAGCAGAGAGACAGTACTTGAGTAGCCAGTAAAACACAGTTACAGTTTTGTTGCTGAGCTTGATTTAAAATCTGTTTCTCAGCAAGTGAGTGCTATGTGGAGCACGAGACAGCTTCAGTTATCCAAGCCAAGGGCGATGCTGAGTCCTGCTAGGAAAGGCAGGCACCTCTCCCTTGACTTTAGCAGAAGCGGAACGTCTTAACAGCACCGCCAGCAGGGGCATCAATGTCCAATTTCACTGGGATGCTACACACTGCATTCAGTTAAAATCCTAACACTGCACAGTGTGGCCTCCCAGGGAAATACGACAGTCTCCCACACACCTTCACCAACCCCTGCCAGCTGGCTTCTAACCAGCAGGCTTTACAGTCTGGCCAAAACAACGTCCTGGGCAACGAGATAGGGTCAGGAGTGGGCAGAGATGAATAGTAGTTGTTACTGGAGTGCCAATTTTGGAGACTAAGTGAATTTACAGAAACCCCACAGAAGAGCAAGCAGAAGAAACACCTATTCTGTCTGCAGCCAGCTATCCTAGAATGAGGCCAACAGCTTTAGACAGATGAGACTTGTTCTCACACAAGCACCGTAACTCCCAAGTGTCACCTTGCCACGTGTAGGTTTTATTGGTGAACACACTCTTCTCCATAAAAATTATGGCACACCTCTGCTCACTGCCTTTCTCTGCAAGCTGCTACTTCACTACTCATTTCTGCACAATTACCTGGACACTGGGAGAATGCCTTGCAGGAAATAGAAATTACATCAGTGCTGGCTAACTCAGCTTGTTTATCATCCTAACCGAGCAGCAGTTCACTTGTTCAGGCACCAAAGTGGCCAGCACAATGTGCTTCAGGAAACTGGAGGAGAATAAACTTTTCAATCAGTTCCTGCAGCACTGTACCTACTTAAAGAGCAAAGAAGTAGACTGTAAATTTTTTTAAATCAAGTCAAACAAGCAGCAAGAAGGGTTTCTAGCATTCAAAAGCCTCCATATGCTTTCCATATGGTAGTTACCAAACATCTTTCATGCTCAAGGTGGGTTATTCT